ATAAAAAAAAAAATTTTGAATTTACTTACTTGTAGCCAGAGTTAGAGGCGGTCGGATACTTATGACCGCTACTGTAAGCCTAGATAAGTCAACTCATTTGGCTTGCAAGTGGTTTAATTTATATAGAGTTTTAGTAATATCATATAGTTAACTTATATGTAAAGTCAAAAAAGTGATAAAAAAGTATATAAAATTATGTTAATCAAATATTCAGTACTTGTTAAGTGAATTTCTTAATAACGCTATAGAAAAATATGATGTTCACATTCCTTTTATACTAATTATTTTAAAAATAACAATTTTGTTTTAATAAAAATTGCTAATAAACTCCTTAAATTTTAAATCTAATAATAATAATATTTTTTTTAGTTAAATATTATTTGAAATAAAATAATTATATATTTGTGTGATTAAATACTTTAATTTTAAAGTTGATGATAATCTTTTATTTTATATATTATATATTGTAATCATACTAAAATAAAAAAAATTGATTATATTTATTTATTATGCAAAATAAGAAAATATGAAAACAAATAAATAACCAATAAAAAATTGTTTACAATTGCCTCAACAATTTTAATTGCTAATAATAAAAAATAATTAATAGATTATCAAAGATTTTTTATAATAATTAAATGATTTATTTTAAAATTTTTTTTAGTAATATATTAATAAAAATTTATTTTATTTTTACTGAAATAAACAGAATTATAACTAATATAAATAAAATATTTATAAAAATAATTTGATTATAAAGTTTCACGCTTTGAGAGGCAAAGCTACTTTACAATACATATATAAATTGATTTCAATTATTATAACTTAAGATTTAATTCAGACTTAATAAAGTTTTGGAATATTTATATTTTTTCTACATAGAAATTTATAACCCAAACGTAACAAACAAATAAATTTTTTATTTTTTCATTTATAGAAAAAATGCTAAACTACAAAAATATAATCCAGCTTTTTTATTATATAGTTAAAGTAATACAAAAACTTTAAATATTATGACCGTCTTATTAAATAATAATCAACTATGATTATTTCTGAATTTTGTATGATATAATATAAGAATACTACTCATGCATTAATACAAATTAAAATTTTACTGAAAAAATAAAATTACATTAATATACATCTCTATTATATTCACTAACTTGAATAATTTCTTGAAGTACTTTAATACGATTTTTTTTATAGTACAGAACCTTTATAATAGAAACTTTGTTATAGTAAAAATAAAACAAATTTAAAAAGCAAAAAAAAATTTTATTATATATAAAATTGAAAATTTAATCCATAAAATAAATAAACTATAACCTGTGTTTTAAGAATCTTAGATTAGAATTTTAATATCTTTAATATTGATAAAGTTATATCAGGTTAAATTTATCTAAAATTAATTATAAAAACTGAAATTGAAAAAATATGTAATGATGAATTTATAAGAACGATTCTTTTATAATTTATATATTTTACTTAAATATTATTATAAATTGAATTATATAAAGATATATTAGAGTATAGCAAAAGAAATACATATGAATATTACAATTATACATAGGTAGAATTATAATAAATTATTCCTAAAGCATTAAATTCAATTCCTTTAATAATAATTCAAAAATATGCATAAAAATTATGATGATTTATGAATATTTATAAAAAAAGTATTACTAGAAAAATGGCAGAATTTACAGCTAAAAAATATAAGTTTTATTGTCATGTATCTGATGCAATTATAATAAAATAATAAAATAAAATAAAATCATATGATTTTAATCCTAGTTTCTGATTGGCTCCTATATATGTTACACAATAATTACATAATTTACAAAATTGAAGAAAAAAACTTTTTTTTATAATTGATTCATTTTTACAAATATAAATCAATTTTTTTTTATTTGATGAAAATCCAATCAGTGGATTAAATTTTATTAATGTTTTTTTAAGTTCTTATTATAGAGGTTTCGCACTGTAGGAGTTTTATGAGTTGGAGATGTAAGAAATCCATTATTTTGAGAGGGTGTCTGGGATTCATCATTTTCGTAATAGCTATCAATAAAATGCTCAAAATCTTCTTTTGACTCATTGATCAAGTTTAATGTTTGCTTAATCATAGACTTTACAAATAAAACATCCATTATAATGTATGCAAGTGGTTGATTCCTGTTTAAACAATCAGAAACCTCATAAAATTTTCGACGACGGATACGAGTAACATAACCCATCGGAAGATCAGCAGTAATAACTTGCATCATATTTGCTCCTTGGAGAATCCCAGCTACTTGTAATTTTCTTACAATATCTTCTTTCATGTTGCATTTGCTTGCGAGTTCATTTATCATGTCTTTGAGCATTTTTACACATTTTTAAGGAATCTGTTAGGATTTTGGTTCCTTTTGTTCCCTCCCAGTTTCTCCCAGCTTCAATTGCGCCAAATTCAAGGCGATTATTGCGTAGCCTAAAGACCCCGTCCCCTTTTCTGCCAATTTTTTTTCGTACATTTACAGTCCTATCAATATTTTTTCTAATACTTGATGATAAACTCTGTCCTTCTCCTCGCACTAACTCAATTTCCATTCCACAAAAAACAGGATCTACTAAATGAGCCCAAACATTCATTTCGAACCATCCTTCTAGTTTTTGGGCTGAAGTGAAATTGACTTCTCCTTTCCACAGAGAATACATGGACCTATACGCAAGGTTAATATAGTTTAAATCTGTTGAGTAAGGAACATTATCGGGAAAAATATTTTCAAATATAACTTGTTGAAGAGTAGATAAATCGTGTAATGTGTACTTTTTTAAGAGATCTATAATATTTTTATCTACTTTCGGTACTTGTTTGAGATTTAAGGAAAATATTTCATTCCATTCATCGTTGTTAAATAGTTTTTTTGCCTCTTCATCAGCATCGTTTATAATGAAAGAGTGTAAATATGAATCATGTTTAAATTTTTGTGCATGATCATAAATTACTTTCAACAACGCGTCCAGACGATTTGAGAGTCCACATGTTTTTGGGATCAAAATTTAGGTAGGCGAGATCAAAGTCCGAAAAATCATCGGTCTTTTTAACATAATTACGTGTGTATGTTTTTTTAACCTAGATCAAATTGTAAAGGATATGAAGAACGTCAATAATTATAGCTTCGAAACTACAATACGCTGTAATTACTTACACTCCCAGACTGGTCTAGACTTTGATATGCAACATCAAAGTTAGCAAGGCTAAATTCAAATTCTTCGATCTCAGTATTGTTATCGTCATCATCATTTGTGGATTTGGTGGATTGTCTTTTCGACTGAATCAAAATTGTAAAAAGAAGGTTATACTAAATATTACATAAACAAAATTACCTTGATTGCAGGGGATACAAAAGCATTTGACAGATTGATTTTGTGTTCGGGAGTTTGTTCAGGTTGATCACAAGCAGGAAAGTAATAATTTATCTTTGTCCGTTTTGGAACTTTGTCGTTGTCCTAAAGATTAAATTGGAGTATTAGTTCTACTGATTCTCAAATTCCGGCTAATAAAATGCTCATCTGTACCTCTTGCCAATTCTCGTTTCTTTTTGTTCCTTTCTTTGTTCCTCTATTTGTTCCTGTAACATTAAAAGGTTCATTATTTATAGTCGCATGATCACCTGAGAATGTCGAATTGCTAATATTAATCGAAGGTCCTATTTTCATTTTATTTGATATATTCTCTGTTTCCCAGTCCTTGGCACACTTGTGGTCAGGCCGATCTCCCTAGCAAAAGAATCAAGTAATTAATAATATTACTAATTTGAGTGTTTCTGATTTCTCAGATTACTTATACCATCAGGTCGACTTATAAGACTTGAACATCAGGTAAACTTAAAGATCGCCTGTGCCCCGATGGGACCAGCGTTAGGTCGACTTAAAGACTTGAACATCAGGTAAACTTAAAGATCACCTGTGCCCCAACACTGGTTTTGGCTCGACTTAAAGACTTGAATGACAAGGAAACTTAAAGATCCCAGGCACGCCAATTACTCAAACTGAATATCTAAAAAAAAACTTTACTTACTTTCTTATATCTATCATAGAGAAACCGTGCCTTTTCTTTCCTTTTCCCTTGTTCGTTTTTAAGAATGTTCTCTAGGCTTGTTAGATACAGACTTATCTTCAGCTGATATGACTTCTCCGTGCATTCATCCAAAAATGCTATGATGTTCCAATCGGAAGACTTGCTATCAAAATCGTGAATATATGCACTTATACAATTATTATTGAACATTTTGTATTGAAGAACAAATAAGATTTCAAAGAGTTTGAATAATAAGAAATCTTTTTCCAAGACGCGTAACGGGTGAATAAATTTTTCTTATAAAACGTGTAACAGGTGTACGATTAAGATTTGACGAATTTTATTGGTTTGTGTAACATTAATCAGAAAATTTTCGCGCGAAAGAAATAAAGAAATAAAGAAATTTATATTATCTCAAATATAAAAGATACAATATTATACAATTGTAACTTAATTACACTATAAGAAAATTTAATTATGCTACAAGTTACATTGCAATATTTATCTTTAACCTCCTATAATAAGTTTTATTTATTTTAAAATCTATTTATATATTGAAAGAATTTTATTATAAATAATTGCAATTACTATAATTCAACTTTTTTTTTTTTTTTTTTTTTAACGATGTGGCACTGCCAGTAACTTTATTAAATTTATATAAAAGGAAATACAAAGTAAATCGAAAATAAATCTATGCTAA